TCCCCTCTTGCGCCTATGCTTGTCGCTTCTAAACCAGAGAACGGAAGGACTACTCATTCTAGAACAATAATAATAAGTACAAATTATGTACTTTTTTCTTTTTATATTTTAATTTTTAATTTTCATAAATGATTTATTTATTTGTTTTCTTGTGGGTTTTGCTTAGCTAAGTTTGGCTTAAACCCTCTAATTTTACTTCCTTTCAAAGACTGTGGAAAACTCTATTTTAGCCCCTTTGCTTAGTTGGCACTTTGGTAATTTCTATTGACAGATTATTTTATTTAGTTTTTGAAATTTGAGTAATAATTATATAATTTTTCCATATCTTTGCTGTGTTAGAGAATTATGGAGGGATAGTTGATAATTATTTTTAGATTGTTTATAATAAGCCCTGAACTCAATTGTTTATCTTATTTAGTTGTAATTAGAGAAGTTCTTTCTGTAGTTGTGATTACAAGAAGTTGCATGTTTCTTCTTTAGTTGTAATATTTTCAGAAAATCATGTTGACTAACAAAAAAATTGTATGAAAATGTAAAATTTTATCTCCAATGGTAGATCTAAAAGAAATATAAACATTAGGAGAGAATTTATTTTTAACCATAAAGTTAATAAGATGTATCAATTTTTAAAATTTTCAATTTTATTAAATTCAACCTTAAAGTTTGATGATAGATCTTTGTAATTTTTTAACTGAAACTTGAAAAAGGTTTTGCAATGAACCTTTATATTAAATTTAAATAAAAGTGATATTTTTTGTTTGAAGAATTGTTAAAGAAAATATTTCATGTATATGAAATTGATAGGATTTGAGAAAAACTTATTTTAATGTCAAACTTGATTTATTAGTGAGTTTTTAGTTTTTTTGTTGATCAGCGGGTGAAAAAGGGAAATTGAATATAAGGTGAAACTTGCAAGGTTAAACACTTCCATATTCATCAATTCAATTCACTCGTATGTTTTCTATTAAATAAAGCTTGCTCATAAAGAGTCAAATGAAATCAAAGTTTCACGATTTTTGATGGTGTGCTAGTGCTGGCTTTCATTGATATGGATAGTTACAGGTGTTCATAGCCCTTTCATGGTGATACATGCTCGATACATAGTATTATTTGATACATAGGAATCATGAAATTCATTCACGGAAACCAAAATTTATCATGATCTTTATTGATTATAAGACCCTTAATCTTGGTTAATTAATTTAATTAATTTATGTTTTTGATGATAACAAACACACTTGGTATTAATTATTTTTGGCGTGTGAGAATTATTGTTATAAAGCATAAATTTATTATGAGCTTAAATAATATTATATGATTTACTGATAATACATATTTTGTTTAACAAAAGAGTTTCAGTGTTTTGAAGTATCCACAGTGTAAAGCTCGAAAACAATGATGAAGAAGTTACGTCGGAAATAAATTTTCTTCTTGATGAAGAGGTATAATCTTTTCACAATATTATTTGTGTAATAATATTTTCACTTTATTGTTTTGCTATTTTATTTTTTAATTTTTTGTAGTACAACGTGGAGGGGATTCGAACTCAATACCTTTTAGTTGAACTATGCTCACTTTGGTTGTTTTGCTAATCTATATTAGTATTATTATGATATTTTTATTTTATGTGACATATAATGAAAATTTTCAAGATATAACAATAGAATTGTGAAACAAATTGGTAATAGATTTCTTGATTAAACCAAGATATTGAGTAATTATCTATATCAATTCAACCAACTCATTTACCCACAATTTCATTTATATAATAAATGTGCCTATTCTTTAGACAAAAATAACACCATAAATATGATTCATTATTTAATTTTAAATATTATAAGATATTTTTAAGATTTAATATTTAATTTAATTCATAAAATATAATACGAAAAGTTGTCCTTTAACCTACATAAATGTGTTCCATAATTATAATGTTGAATTATATTTAAATTTTGAATATTAAAAATTTTAGAATCTTTAAAGTTTTTTTGTCACTCTTTCATTTTTAAATTTTTTTTTTGGTATTTTGTTACTATTTTATTTTCTATAGTTATATAATGACTTTTTTTCACTCATTTCCTGCCACTATTTGAGTTATATATATATATATATATTTTTTTTTTTTCTTTACTCGTCTTTCTCTCTAAATTTACTTTATTTTATATATTTTTATGTTTCTAAATTGAATGTAGTTGAACACGATAATGACTATTGTTTAGCAATCTCAAACATTCGTGACAAGTAATTTTTCTATTTGATTATGTGCACATCGATTTTCTTCTTCCTTATGGACTATTATTCTTAATATGATTTTATAATTAATCTTAAATTTATGTTATTACTTAAAATTTTTATGCATGATTTTAAACTTTTAAATTTTATTTTTAGTTAAATTATGTTATAAATGTTTTCACCGTTTATAAAAGTTGGATAAAATGTTGATATTTTATTTCAAACTAGAAATACGTAAATTAATTTTTATTTTTAAATTATATCAAATTAATTAATAATTATCTTTAATTATAATTAATAATAGAATTTAAAAAGTTTTGGAAGTTTAATAATTAATGCAACATTCAACAACTTTTACAATAGTATAAACACCTCTCTCTTCAAACATTTTTCTATAAAATTTTTTTATCTTCTCCTCCAATGCATGACTATGATTAATAATATATATTTTATAATTAATTTTGTTCTAAAAATATTTGTAGGGTTGGAAGCCATTAATTTAACTGTTACAAAAATCAAAACTATTTCATATAAATTGATAAGTTCACAATTAATTTTAATATATAAGAAAATAAATTGGAAATATCACGTGCATTGAGAAGGAGAAATGATAACCAGCCCTTGGAGGGGTTTTTTTTTTTTAATTTTTCAATATTATTATTCAATTAAATCTCATTCATTCCTTCCTTACCTATCATCAATCCAATGGTCTAAATCTGGTTTCAAACCTTTTTTCCCTCCTATCTAAACAACACTTTCTCCCCAAATTTGATAATAATTCTTTTCCAATTTTCTCTCCAATATTTTCATGTTTTTCTCTTCAAATTTTCAATGTTCTTATAATTTCTTGGGAGAGAAATTTTTATTTTGAGAGATCTTTGAACTATCCAATTTTATTTTTCTTAGCCATTTGAGGGCTTTTATTTGTAAGAATTTTTCTTACAAATTAAATTTATGAGGGAAAATTTGTAAATTCACTTTTTTAGAGAGTGTGTAAATTTGTTCTTCAAATTTGTATTCATTTGTAAGGGTTGCTCTTGAGCCCGAAAAAGAGCATTGTAATGGTTTGATCCTGAACCGTGGAAAAAGTTCTTGCTCCCGAAAAAATAACATTGTATCGGTTGAACTCTGAGTCGTGGAAAGAGTCAAGTTCTTTAATTGAATACCCAAGAGGAGATTGGGAATTGGGGTAGGCCGATGTTGCCGAATCACTATAAAATTTTCGGTGTCATTTTCTCTAACCCTCCTCTATTTAATTTTTGCAATTATTTTTTTTATTATAAGTTACATGAAATTAATTGTTGGAATTTATTATTCAATTTTATGTGCAATATTTACATTGAAATTAATTAGAGTGCTTGAAATTTTATTTCTAATTTATGTTAAAATTAGAATAACCTACTCAACATGTGAGAAACTGACAGTTGTCACCCATAAATGTTTTATTGGATTTAAATTTTTGTTTTTTTTCACCCCCGACATGTTTTTTGAACTATTTTTCGACTTTTGACTTTTGGTACTTATGTAAAAGACTAAAATACCCCTGCTAAAAAAATCATCCCCCTCAACATCCTCAATATCAGACTTTCTTCCTTCTCTCTCCCCCTCAATCTCGGCCCACCATCATAATCGAAATCAAATACTACCAAAAATTTTGGTACAATTAAATTTATGCTCGATTTTCTTGTTTCGCCATAAAATAAAAAATTAAAAAGAAAAATTAAAAATAATGGTCAATCTCCCTCTCTACTTTTTTACCTTCGGAACAAAATATCAACAAATTTGCGTTCCTTTTGTTGGGAGGTTACATTTATTATTATTATTGTTTTAAAGTCTGAATTTGACTTTTTAACTAGTGATGATTTGGGATTTAGTTTAGATTCTGTTGAAGATATTTTTGACATATCGAAATAATCATATTCCTGAATCACCATATTTAATGAATATCTATAAAGTTTGACTAATACAACATTAAATATGACCATTCCCCTTATTTTCCCTTCAATATAATTTTGTTTTGTGTAATAGGTGTGGGCCTTGATCTATATTTATGCTTTCTTTCTCTCTTACTATTTGTGGGCTTTACGTTTGTAATAGTTAAGCCCAGCTAGAAACCCAATCGAAGCAGAATAGAATATAATTGGCTTTATCTTAAAAAAAAAAAAAAAAAAAAAAACCTTTTGGTGTGTCTATTTTGTCTATGCAGTTTCAAAATGATCCCATCCCTAAAATTTGGAATGGTTATGGAAAAGGTTTAATATAGTGGTTACGTGAGATCCATTACGTCTCACCCTATAAATAGGTGCATCATTTCATACCTCAGGTCAGTTCTAATTCCTCATATTGAGCTATAGGTTGGATCAGATTCTTACTTAGTTGAGTATATTCGAAGAGTTTAACAACTTAATTTTGTGCTAGGTTTAGATATTTCTATAATTTATTTTGGTCATTTATATTGCCTTGATTTGGAAGATTTTGGTGGTTGAATTTTATATTATGGGTGGTTCATCAAAAAAAATTTAAATTTAAAAATTTGAGGGAATTATTCATTTCTCCCTAAATTTAAATTAATTTAAATTTAGGAAGAAATGAATCCCTCAAAATATGATAATTTTTTTTAGTACAAATAATATGATAAAATTTAAAGTCATTTATATATGTATTTTAGTACATATGTTAGGAGTGGAAGGTTGAACTCACATCATGATATATGCTAATTACTTACCACTGGTGTTTTATTCAATTAGTCATTCTCTTGTTCGAATTGTAATATTAAAAAAAATATATTACTTTCTAATATCTTACTGGTATATTATTCAATTAGTTATAACTCATAAAAACAAATCTTAATAACAATAATATCTGTTAAGATTAAAAATAATATAAGCCATCTAGTAAAATAATATGATTTAGTATCCTATGACATTTGTGGAATGTTGTGGGCTCAGTAGGAATATTTTCCATACCATATTCTTTATTTATACTTTCACATTCTTCGAAAAAGTTTCCATTGAAATTTGAATAACAATAATAAAAAAAACCAATTCGTACAACATGTTATTAAATTACAATTTTCTTTCATATTTAATTCATTGGAAGTATAATTAAATCTAAATCATTACATAAAGATATATTTTATCTTTTGTGAGGAATTCAAAGCATATAAAATAAATTTAAGTCATGTTTTCCATAAAATATAGTACATGCGTAAATTACACGTGAAATTGTATTTTCCTCGGAATTTTGTTTGATGAAGAATGTACACACAACAAATTTAATCTAATTAGAAAATATTATTCAAATACAACTAACTTTGTCCTATACAATTAATTTAATTTAATATATTGAATCAAGATATTTAGAAACTCGATGTGTATAAGGGTAGAATAATATATATACTTAGGTACTTATTGGTCAATACTTGTATCTAAGTTTTTTTTTTGGAGTACAACATGTTGGGATGGGAGGTTGAACTCACCACTTATTGGTTGAACATAAATGTAAATTATCGTTGAGCTATGCTTGTATTGACAACACCTAGTGTCAAGGTCGAAGCCTGTGTCAACTATAGGTCCTTCGTGTCGAGATCCCACCTAATGTCTGGTTGGGTCCATCTTTATATTGCGTTGTTTTAATAAAATTTCTGCCTCCCAAATATTTTGTCTTTTGACTTTGTCTACTATTTTAGTTCTGCATGGATACAAAGGGGACAAGCTATAGAGTTCGACTTATTTTATTTTTTATTTTTATTTATTTATTTTTATTACTCTATTAAATTGTATTTTAATTGTTTCAATAACAGAAGTTTACTTTATTATTAGTTTTAATATACAGTTTAAATTAACTTAAATTAAAAATGTTAGATTTATTTAAATGTTTAGCTTTATTAATAAGAAAATAAAAAATGGTTTTGTTTAAATTTTGTTTTATTATTAAAATAAAAAATAGATAAATAAAAAGATTTGATTTTTAAATAAAGAATTTATTTTAAATAAAAAGATTTGTTTTAATTTTAAAAAGAAAACACTAAAACTGATTTTTGAGTTTGTTATTCTTTGTTTCCCTCATCAAAATTCTATATGGGGATAGCTACATAACGTCTCCGCGTTTGGTCGGTCGATCGATCTCGGTCATTCGTTTCTTTCCTGAAGGAGGTAGTGTGCTTGATCGGTGCGAGCAGGGACGATAGAAATAAAACGTTTTAAAATA